TGTTGAAATAAATTTTCTTGCTCTATAAACTCAGGTCAATTTTTCACAAAGTATCTATCTCCCATGGCGTTATTCATATGACACAAAATCCATACCTTCAATTTGCATAAATACTTTGCATGATGAAACCAAATGCTTTGGTACGATGTTTGGCACCCTTAATAATAAAAGAGTTGATGATATCTGGTTGTGTTTCCATCTCCATCCTTGTTCTCCTTCAGGCTACACCCGTATCCAGATGTGACAGGCATATGCTTTCACTTTGGTGTTTTTGATACACATCCAGTTGGGACTGATCAATGTACGTCGCTCGAGTTACCAATCCTTTTATTACTGCTCCTGTTCCTTTATTGCGGACATGCCTGATTGTTTTTCATGTAAGCTTACGCAATTCTACTTGTCCTTTGTGTAACAGAGCGCCTTAAGCTGAGATAAATCTAGTTCTAGCCGGAACTTCCGGAACCAACTGCCGAAGATCGGTATTTCACAGGGCAAAAACAAGTATTTTATATTTATGACATATTAGAAAGTCCTTACTTAAAATTTCTTTAAACAGATATGTTATCCATTAACGAAATAAATACTCGGGTAAGTCCTGCCGTCAAACAGCTCCATCTTTCACCTGTCCCTCTTCTGTTATAATCTTATTAATAAGCATATGAATGAGATGAATGCAGACACTGATTATGACATATAATGCGCTCAACTATGCATAAAAATTGACCCTACAAAAAAACCTTAATCTGCCGAACGGCATATATTATGTTCACGAGATTAAATGGTTTCTTTGCTTGGATCTGACAAGAAAATTAAATTTATGTGATTTACAGTTTTTCTGAAGAATATATCAAGTCGCAGATTATCTTGTTATCTCGACATAATCCTAAACAGCAGTATATTATGGCATTATTGAACGTAAACAGGTCTTCTTATTAAAACTGTTTTACTTGGCAGATCGTTATTTATGATATCGAATGCAGAGTCGTATATGTTGCGCTCTATCTGGCGGGTGCAGGGTATTATAAAAAGGGAGGGCAAATCATTGTCCAGGGAGTGCGATCACTTACTTCTTCCAATCTTCTGACGTTTTTGTTAACCACGTAATTACAGTAAGGAATGTATCTCATGTTATTAAAGTTTCTTCTACCTTGTACTTTGTACACATTACGACTAGGCTTTGCATACTTCTAAGAGAAATGTGAATCCGTCCAACTACTCGTATTGAGTCAAAGTCAGTGACACCATTCTTTTATGACATAGGGATCGAAAAAGCTTTATTGACGAGTCGATAAACGGCTTGTGCGCAACAGGTCTTGAATTAAAAAATTATCTTTCTTTCGATTTCTCTCTGTAAAGCATTGTAGGATTTCACGTTTTTCAGCTTTCTAGCGGTTGATAATTTACACTGAACTTTAGTGGAAACCGTACCACAGAATCATATTAGCTTGAAATATATTTTTGACTATATTTGCTTCATCGAAGTTATCTGTAGCTACCGTTTTGAAAGATCGTTTTATAGTTAGGCTGCAAGTATATAGTCAAAATCACGAAAGATGATTGTTACGTCATACCATAAATTGTACTGAAGTAATCAGTGGACGTACGTCGATGATAAAATCACGATGTCATGAATTTATGTTATGATTTTGCGAAGTTAGGTTATTTCCCTGATTATTTTTATTGTCATTTTATTTCATGGTTTTAAGTGATACCTTAATAGTAATTTCAGTGTGGAGTTTTTGTTTTGAAAAAGGCAGGTATGAGTAGAATACACCTTAAGACATTAACACCAAAGACCAAAGTATTATTCGAAATGAACCTAACTTGCTTTAACATAACCTAACCATTCAAATATGATCGATCATGCAACATGAAAACATAGTCTATCTTTGTCGGATACGTGCAAATATTAGCAATACAGTTTGTTTAGACAATAAAATTCTGTTTGTCTCTGTCTAACATATTTGAAACTTCATTAAAAATATTCACAAATCGCTGTCGTTTGTCTTTACTACAGACTAAAATGATAACGTAATCGTCATATTTCGTGATTTCGATTATACTGAAGTATTTCCTCTTTAGACGATTAATACAAAACAATGTATTCTAGGGGTTCGAAAACGTTTAGAAAAAATGATATTAAAGCTAATAGTCCTTGTGTGATGTGATTTCATATGGCCAGAAAAACTGGCATCCTATCATCATGGAAACCACAGGAATCATCGTGAATGTATTACTACGTATCGTTTTCAACCAAGAGCAGATACAAGATGTAGAGAAACAACTCTATATATTTTCTGTTGAAATGACATCGCTATCCATTGATAAGCCCCAAAAAGAAAATTTTTCCTGCCGTAACGTCAGTATCGGCCATCTAGCAACGTTGCTATGACTGACCTTGCATTTCGTCAGGCGCGACAGCAACCCATCGTTGAGACTGCCATGCAAGCATGTGAATCCAGATGCGCATGTGTTAAAAATATGTCTCTATCTTAGTTTTGAGGACTAATGCATAGGATATGATTTGTGAAATATGTCTAACAGGTGCTTATACTTACCAGAGTTGAAACCGTATAAATCATATACTAACGCCAAAAAATGAGATATACTCTCTCCCACTCCTGATTCAATTTTTAACCCCTACAATTGTATTCTGAAAATGATCAGGATCGATTTCTATTTTTTCATTTTTTGCCAAGTAATTTCGCAGCCACAGGACCGATTTTCAAAAACTACAAAGCTTTTTCGTCCTTGGTATAGAAGTGAGCTTGTCTGAGAATTTGGTCAAAATCAGAGCATTGCCATGCGGGTTATCGAGCCCATTAAGCAAAGTTAATCTCATATTTGTTAGTCCAGCCTCCTAGTAATTTCATAGACTTGCCAGAATCGGAAGAACATTTACAATTAAAGGAATCTTTCTAGTAAGCAACAAAAGCCCTAATGCATATTACTCATATGGTTTTTAGGCTGAAATATGCACTGAATCTTTCATCGGCAATAATAACATATCAATAAGCAAAACGAAAAGCGGTCTTTTCGTATCGCAGCGTGGACCAACTGCTCAGCTGTTCTCAACCCTCCCACGCTGCTCATGTCCGGGTATTTAAATACCACCGTGTAAACAGCGAGTGACATCGGACATTATGACCATTTGCCAACGAGTTGACTTAATGTCCCGTCTTTGAGGATTTATTTGGGTACTTAAGGTTTTTTGCATGTTGCCTGTCCTGGACCGTTGCAAAAATGTGGAGACAGATTATTATCTTTTTTGGATTTATGCATGGCGTTTCTTAATTGACTACAAGGTGTTTAATTGTACTGGTTAAGTGGATGAACTGGTAGGCATTTTTAACTTATCTCAGTGAGAGTGTATTGCAAAACGTAAAGTGGTTCGGGTTATACGTGCACGAATTGCCCAGATTCCATTTTGTTTCATGATTTTTCTTCCTACACACCTGGGTCTTTATCATCGAGTTTAAGAAGATAGGATTGAAATGTGATTGCACTTTCGACCGGCATCTGGTCACTTAGGTTGGTATTCGTATCCATTCATTTCCAAAGTATTTTTGGTAAGTGTGACATCTGATAGAACAACATGCTTTTCTGGCCAAATGGAAACATATATAGGCTTTTTTACTATTTTTACATACATAAATCTATCTCCCTCATACCAACATGTGCAATTGGCTGATGAGTTGCCAAAAAAGCACGAAACAGCTGTATTACTAGTTTGTTCAAAGACATGAAGGATTTTTTTGCGAGTCCACGGTGTAGCACAGTGCACTACCGGGAACCGATACTCAAATTTTTGCGAAGTACGGGAATAGGGGAAGCCGGATGTGACGACGTTCGAATTTCAAAAAATCACGTGGTACGGGTACCCGCCTAACGTCTGTGAGGTACTAGCGAGTAACAGGTCTTATGTCAATGTGATTCAAAAAATAGGCATCTCAATTGAAAATTTGTCGTCGCAGTGCCGAAAATTAAGTTAAATTATTAATTCGTAAATGGAGGAACACGTCCACCTGATTTTAAATAGAAGGTCATCGAAGATATATGAACCGCACACGTCATATCAAATGATATACTCGTATATGTACATTGCACAAAAAACGATCGGTCTTTTTATTTCAGATCCAAAGAAGGCAGCTAATTTTATCAAGGAGCTCAAAGCAAATATTTTGGGCAACATGCGCCATCTAACCATTTCCGGTGTAACTTGAAACTGTCAAAACTTCGAGAGGAAGGGGAAAGTCCATCTGTTCCCGCTCCGGTTCACTACGGGGTCTCGCGAAAAAATCTCTATGCATTTTTTAAAGATTTTTCTGTCAACGTCTTTGACAACCTGCTTGTCATGGGTGTCCTTTTTGAGTTTACCGTTTGACGATCTTCGATAGAAAATATACGAGTGTCTGCAAATACAACTGCAATCTTGATAGTATGTGTTCGATTTCCGGAAGATGAATGGGAACAGAGGGGTTTTCGTTATAATATAATGATATTCAACACAAGTAAGAACATAAATAAATTAAAAACAGCCAGACCTTCCTGCGTGTTAAATTTAACGAAAAATATTTTTCTAAATTAGTTACTTACTTCGATAAATTGATTTACTATTCTTATACCTAGGAGATGTAATTAATATGAAATAGTTGACTAGAGCTGAGAAAATCCCTATTCTTATTAAATAACATCTTCAATGATATATTCTGTCACTCATGTGACAGCTTACTTGTTCTTTCCGCTACTATACAGCGTGTTACAACAACAGTCTGAACCAGCAAAGCCTAGGGCTGTAAGAGGTGGGAACTCTTCGCTCCCCAAAAAAGGTCCAGTCCCCACAAAATACTGTTTTTCGCATTTCGGCTCCATTTTCACTACTAACTTCCAAGGAGTTATGGTTTTTAAAAAAGAAATTGAAAAACCCTTGGTGTAGGAAGCAATCCAGGAGAGTATATTTTGTTACACCCCCTTCATCAGAGTGAAACGTACCTACTTACCGACTATGACGACATGATGTCCAAAAGCGTCTGCTTCTGACATAGCTGCTGTCCCTGTGCAATTCCATCTGAAAATAATATTCTGCGCTTACTTTGCAGCTCATAATAAAACGATGTAATAAGACTCCATTACTTTCTAATGTCATGTTGTCACCGCGTAATGCCAGTAACTGTAGCATCGAATTTAAAAAAATTAGGGAGTAGTACGAATACGGAATTTTAAACACATATATATTTCTAAAAATGTCCCACACTCAAACATATTAGCCTTTTTTAAATATTTCTGAACCACTCGAAAAATCTTACCTACGCCTCAAAACGATTAAAGCTGTTCAAAGATAACTGCTCTATATATTTACCTGTGGTGTCTGAACTGCCTTCTGCACTCCGTAGCTGCCAAACGTGCCCCATCTGCAGCTGCGACCATAGCGTCTGGAAGCTGCCTGCAAAGGTCCCGTTGCTTGGGAAGCAGCCAAGGACTGTTGGAGCAAACCACCTCGGTTCCCAAATCGTAGACGGGACTCATGCTGCCGTGAGAGCCAGCATGACCGCCGATTGATTGCCTGAAAATAAAACCGAGCATTAAGGAGGGCAACAAACAGTAATATGCACATACAGTGCAGGTGAGTTTCTGGTATGCAATCAATTGTTACCTGCCTTTTTAAAAAATATATAAAAAATATAATATATTTCTGTATACTCTAAAAGGCATTTTCAAAGTGGTGATGTTTAAATTGCTACTTCTGGAGTTACGGTATATTTCACCGCACAGCTTGTAACTTGGTCATTTTTGTAGAATCTCTAAAATGTTTGTCTTTCGTCTAAATAGGGCGTTTATTAACGCAAAATGCACTTTCTATCAACTTCAACTCTATCTTTATTCTGGTATAACATTTTTGGAAGTCAAATTACGAATGATATGAGGTATTTGCTGTTTATCAGAAGTTACGATTTAAAGTAAATAGATGCAACGTGGACTCGTTTTGTGGATGAGTACAAGCCTTCTTTGGAATTGCTTCCTTTCCAAAATCATGCTTTTCCTAGAATCATGTAGAATTTTGTATTTTTGGTTGTAGTTTCTGGGAAATGGCAAATAACTCAAAAAGTTAGTATCACCACTAATTTGTTAATCTGTTTGCATATTCCATTTCAAGCCCTGTCTTCATCAATCTATATAGGCTAGAAAAATGTTTTACCGATACTGAAAATATCAGCAGTAAACCCATCGCACGCTTCATGCAGAAAATGCGGTGAGCATTTAGCGAGGATCTCACGACCTATTGGCAAACATTCCAAAAGCTCCCACAAGCCGAAGAGAAATATCGCTCCATCTCTAGAAAACATCTAGCTGCACGCCAAAAAGGCATATCTGGAAAGATAAACACTTAACACGTCCATGTGTGTGTTTTATCTAAATGAAAATCGGTAGCTGGTTATGTCAAAACGTACACCATAATAAACTGAGGCTGCACGGACGCCAGTAGTTGTGGTTGGCCATAAACCAGCCAGGGCGACCCACTCGTCTTGGCCTGACATCAGATAATTAAATCAATGTGACTCAGGATATTCTCTCACTGGGGAAATGCTGGGTTCTTCGTACAGTACCGTATCATTATATTCATAAAATTATTGCAGTGTTTGTTAGTGGACGCCAGTCAGATAAAGAGTGTCCCTGATAAATCTAACGACCAACAGGGCGTACTTTTTGTTGAAATACATTCGCACAGCCCACGTATGAGAAATCCTGACAAGAAAAAAAGTAACGAGATCAAGTAAAGAAATCAATTACGTGCATTAGCTAATTCAAAGCTTAAAACCTTAAATATGTTGGGCATGGAAACAGAACTTTGCTTATCCTACCTTCACCATGGCAGACTATTAGTCGTAAAGTTTGTTGGTTATAATTCGACACTACTTCTTTACGGCAAAAGTATCTGCATTATCCTGTGTGTTGTGTTGGAAAATTCCTAAATATGGAACAATTGGGTTCAAAATTTTATTTGACTCAATAGAAATCTGTCAGTACTGTTGTTTTCGTGGACATAGTACACCGTGGGATGAATGAATTACTATTTTTATCGTTATCTTACGAGATTCCGCCCTCGCCCAAATCGAAATTAATCATGCTTGTGGACCTTGACGTACTGTTAGATAAACTTTAGATTCAGTATTTCCTAGCTTTTACCAGCCATTAAGAAAGATAGAACCGATTATTCAGCTTTTATGAATTTTTCGATAAGTGGCTTCAAAATAACCTTCAAATGTCTTCCTAGGGACAAACCGATCGCTGATTTGCACTCAACGACCGCAAAACTTGACACCAGAGATGCAACATTCCTTCCACCCCTCTACAACCCCTAACCCCAAACTTTCAACCCTACAAAAAGTTTTATGAAAAAAATCAACAGTCTCTGTAACGCCAAAAACCGAGGTTGAACGATTTGTTCTTTTTTTGCTTTTTTGCCCATGGCCAACTAAATGGACTTGCAAAGCCTAAAAAGCTTTTTCGGCCTTGGCATAGTAGTAAACTTGTGTGAAAATCGCATCAAAATCCGAGCGGCACTTTCCAAGTTATAGACGGGCCAACGATTAGCAGACAGACGACACACCGACAGACTGACGAAAATGAGTGACATAGTTTTCCGTAATGTTCAAACATGTCATGTAACATCCATAAAATATAATACCCCATTTTCAAAATTTTCCGCGTGATCAACGATCAATACAAATCTCAATGTCGATGATAAGCATAATATCCCATTTTTAAATTTTTTTGCGATTATAATGCTTCTTCACCAGTGGCATGGTAAGTAGATCTGTTTTTCTATTTGAATCAAAACTCGTATAAATTTGGGTACGCTCTACATAGCGACCCATTTAGCGTTCGTATCATGTTCCATACTTCTACTAGCATACGAACCTCCAGTTTTACTCATCTGTCACAAACTGTGCTAAAATAAGCGGCCATAGTAGAATAGATTAAAGTGGGTCTTGAGCTTCGCTAAATAAAAGCAAGAAACAGACATATTTATTGTACTTGAAGATAAGTAGGTAGTTCTAATGGAGGAGTCCGTACCTGTACCTCTGCCGAAGGTACCGTGAAATCTCCGTTCCGATCAGTGTACATAATCGTTTCATCACTCTTTGCTAGCCTTACCCCGTCATTTGTCAATCCCAGAATGTTTACGATATCTGATAATGGTTATTACATGGGTATTTATAATAGGATCCCTCCCAGGCACCTAGCATAATGCTATCTCTCATCAATATGCGGAAAACTATAGCGTTTGTGTTATGAGTAACTCTTTGAATATTGACATTATCGGAAAAATTGCCAATGTAACCTTGAGCTGGAAGGTATGAAATAGACGATGTTGTAGATGTATGGCACACCTACGTTGTCATGAAGGATTTACTACGTTGGTTGCTCTAATGAGATCCCAGGGCATAGAGCTTATCCAGCTGGATAGATTCCTGAACGGGAAAACTCCCAATAAATATAAACGTAAAGTCTTCAATATTAGCACCCAAATTGTCACGACTGCTGTATTGTCCACACTCTCGATGTGCCATAATTAGTTTAAGACTGCATCACGTGTGGATAACGCATAGGGTTGTGGAAACAGATGCTCTCGAGCATGTCAGCACTACTTAGATATGTAACTAGCATTCCAATATGAGTTTTATTCTGGCAGTTGTAGAACTATTTCTCAACCCAGCTCTCTCTAGTAATTATCGATGACCAAATATGCCAGCACTAAATCATGTCCTCAGCAATTTTAGTTTCCACTGGAGGCAACTAGCAGTTGGTCAGAATTGGATAATCATTTTTATCAGAAAAAGTACAGTAGCGATCCCTAGAGCCCCTCATCTTTTTAAACTACAAATTAGCATTTATTTCCAATAACTAAACCATCATTAGAAAGCCTACACGGTGGTCAATTCTTCTACATAAGGTTTGATCTGACTTCAGAACTAGTTCCGAACTATTCTTTGGGAACAGAGAATTAATTACATCACTTGATGTAAACATAACCTTAATTGAAATAAATCTTCAATTATTAAGTGTATGCTAGAGGTGGACTTTGAAATAATTTATTTTAATATCTTTAAAGAAAGGACGGACCAGAATGGAAAAGGGGATGGCAGATTTAATAACAGATGAGAAGCTCATAGAAACACTTTAAGAAAATAATGCAAAGATTTGTCTATTTACTTTTCGCGTCATATTGGCGAGGACGTATTGTAAGCGCGAAAAATTTCGAAAATGAGATATTATATTTTATGACATCTACTACAACTTGGAAAGTGCTGCTCCGATTTGATTAGGTTATTACTATGCCATAAACGAAGAAGCAACTAGTTTTTGAAAATCTGTCCAGTGGCAATGGATAAAGGCCAAAAACGAAAAAAATAAAAAAAAACGATCAGACTTCGTTTTTTGACATTTCAGAGGATCGTGATCATTTATGGCGGTAAACAGTTGGGAGGTGGGGGCTTTAGGAGTGTGTATAACCATGTTTAACCTACACACCTGTTAGACATATATTTCATACATTTGTCCTTAGAAGGATATAAAACGCTGACGCTATTCAGGTTGTAAGCATTTTAAAAACATTTCAAAAGCTTATCCTAGGTGCTATACTGAAGCATATACAAAAAAAAGGAAAATATTGAGCAACAATGGAGCAGTTCCAGTCAGTTGAAAAAATATGTAAAATATTGATATTGTGTCGGAAGATATGGGTGTTAGCTTGCATTGTGAGCGTGACAATGAAACATGCGTATATCCAGAAACAAAACAAGCAGTGAATCTGGCAAACCTTCCATTACTTTAGATGCAGAAATGAATCTTCGAAACATTAAGAAACAAAACGGTACTGGATTTTTAAAACGTTATATATATTTTCACGGAAAGGGTTTTAACAGTAAACTTCTACAAAACATATTTAATTAAATTTTCTTGCGACAATAGGTCTTCCTCAAGTTAAAATCAGTTTCAAATTAAAACGTTGAATAGCTACAATCACATACAAGAAGTTGATAGTTTCAAATGTTTAGGGGTATTCATAGTTAATGATCTAGGATGGAGTATACACGTTGAACATGTGATAAAAAAATGAAGGTGTCTTATTCCAAAAACCAACCATTTCAACAGTTGTTTGAGTGAAAAGTATCTGCACCAGATATATCATGCCCTTGTTCAATCATTACTATCTTATGGAATCTGAGCTGGAGTCATGAAAAATTATTATAAAAAAAATTAAATTACGCGGAAGTGTTTTTTGAAGGTTAGGTTAAACAAAAAGAAATGTGATTCCACAAAAAATCCTTACAGCGAATCTCAAGCTTTTCGGCTGCCGGAAAAATATGTTTCCATCATACAATCATTTATTTAACAAAAAATCCACATTCATCAAAAGCAAATCAAAGAAACACCAGACTAAATAAAGATCAATCTACGTATACATTATAGGCTCAAAACGTTATAAATTGATCCCTACAAACTCTAAGCATATCAAGTGTAAAAAAACGTTCCAAAATTGAGGCCTTGAGCCAACCAAGGCTACAAACTCATAAACTTGTAGATATCAAAAATTAATATGTTATTTGATGCGCTTTTTTACATTTGATTATAAGTATACTAATACGTATAGTAAATTTGTTATAACCATACAATTCATAAGTTCAGTTTAAAC